CACAAACGGAGTCCTGCGCTGGGACTCCTTATATGGTCATACTGAGTACTGGTGTCACCTTTATTATTGTCGTACCTGTGAAACGTTAGTTCCTACTCTTTATCGGTTGTTCTGGTCCATTTCGAGCCGTACAAAAATAAGAACATACATCTACGTCGTAGTAAAAATGTTTATTTGGTTAGAATTATAATGTTTTAGCTGTAAAATTAGCGGATACTTGTTTGAACCGGCCGCGTGGTTCCTAGTTTCTGCCGGAATCGCTCTCGTCGGGTCCTTCTGGTTCCGTGTCTGGGAGGAGCACGGCGGTGTGATTTCCAGGGAGTTAACTTTGCCAAAATGCAGGTTGGTACAACCTTTTTGAGTCTTCAAAACCTTTGTTTCACATTGACCATTGAGGCAGTGTACTGTGTTAATTTTTTACTGACATTTTTAGCCAAAGTTAGTAACTGAGTTAGCAACGTAGCATCCGGACGTGTCAGCTGTCTGATTTCCTCTTTTGGGATTATGTTTTTCTATTAAACGAATAAATCAGATGTTAATTTAGATCCGAATCAGTAGGCTGGAAATTCCAGTATTTCGTCCAAATATGACATAAATATATAATTTATTGATGCTTCGTGTTCTTCCAAGGACCCAAACGAAGACACAGAGTGGAATGACATCCTCAGGAAAAAAGGGATTCTTCCTCCCAAAGAGATTCCCAAAGAGGAGGAAGAGGAGGACGTGACCCTCCAGCAGCAGTCTGTTGGTAAGAGCAAAAAAGATGATCTACTGCCGCTTTGGATTAGTTAGTTTTGAGCCTGTTGGGCCAAAAAAACTGCTGGGTTCTTTGCAGGATCGCAGATACTAATTCTGTTGTTCTTCTGAAATACATTTTTAAAGTTAAGACCTACGAGAGCATGACTCTGGAGGAGCTGGAGGAGAACGAAGACGAGTTCAGCGAGGACGACGAGGCGGCCATCGAGATGTACAGGTGAGCGGAGGCAGGGAGGAACAAAGGTGCCAGCATCTGTGGGCTGAGCTGATGTGTGCCATCTTTTCCCTGAGCTGTGTCTCCCCCCCACCAGACAGAAACGTTTGGCCGAGTGGAAGGCGACCCAGATGAAGAACGTGTTCGGGGAGATGACGGAAATCTCCGGGCAGGACTACATCCAGGAGGTCAACAAGGCCGGGGAAGGCATCTGGGTGGTGCTGCACCTCTACAAGCCCGGGTAACGTTCTTTTTTATTTTATTTTATTTTTTTTACTGTGTATTATTTATTTGCTCATCAGGAGATCACACATATATTGATGTTACATACATTGTACAAAGCTTACGTGACTACTCTGATTTTTTTTTTTCTTTTTTACAGTTTTTTTTTTTTTTCCCCTTCCCTCTTTCTTCTCCCCTTTCCCCCTTCTTTCCCTCTTCCCTTCCCTTTCCCCGTAGCGAACATAAATCCCTGTATTAACATAACAAAAACAGGACCAAATAAGTATAATTACAATTGAAAAAATAAAAAGAATACATTAACAACCAAAAAATAAATAAATTAATTTAAACAAAAATAAATAAATAAAACAAATAAAAAATAGGGGTGGATTGGAGGGGGGGGGGTTGGACGGAATTGAGAAGCTAAAAGGCAACAACTCTTCACTCAATTATTCTGTAAATTTAAGTCACATGACATGAAGGGTCAATCACATCTATCTATACATTATAAAGGCAGAGATTTTATGTATGTCATAAGCGGTGCCCACTTGTGAGTAAATCCGGGGGGGTCTTTTTAGTCAAAAGAACCAAAGTGAGTCACGCTGTTAGCAGAGTCTCTTACGCAGCTTTTCGTGTAGCCATTTAAGACACACTCAGTCTGAAATTGCTTTTCGCGTGACCACCTTTCACTCACGGGCACACTCATTTATTACCACACATTGATTATCTCGTCACGTGAGCATGTAAGTGTGAAGTCATCTTTACCACAGAAACGATTAACAATAAACATAAACTATAACGAGAGCACAGCTCAACACCCCCACTTGCTCACATTTCATAACATTGTCAATAACACAAATTCAGCCTTATAAACCCAAAACTTAGAATTCTTAATAAGACGTTCTTGTACAGTCATTTCATACTTTACCAAAAAGAAAACCATTAAACATTGACATTTTTGATTTGGTCGCTGGTTTGGTCCCAGAGTGGATAAACGACCAGTCGCTTTTTATTAAGACCGTCTATGTGTGGTAGGCTATTTGCAAAAAACGTGTATTGGCGGGTAGCAGAAAATGCAGATCCAGACTCCAGATCCAGTTTTATTTTAAGTCGGTAATATCCCTAATATGCCGTACTGGAATCAACTATCTGATTTATCCAAAGCAAATTCTTATTAGAACGTTTGTTTTGGATAAATCAGACAGTTTTGATCTAAAACGACTAAAAAAGTTCCTCATCTAATTTCACACTAAGTCTGAATCTGCACACAACCATTAAGTCGCCTCTCAACCAGAGTTTTTAAGTCGTTTTCTCTCTCAATTTACAGTTATGTGACAATTAAAATAATAATATTACATGTAGATTTTTACTTAAACTATCGAAAGAACGTCCTTCAGATCGGCAGCCGATATTTGCAAAAAAAACTGTGTATCGGCCAGCAGGAGAAAATGCAGATCCAGACTCCAGATCCAGTTTTTTTTAAAAGTCCGATCCCATACGAGCATTAGCATTAGCATCTGCTAACCCACAGTTCTGTGTCCTAACCATTAAGTTGTTATCAGAGTAAATCCCTGTTCAACATGAGTCTGACAACTAAGTAAGTAGATAAATAACTTTAAACTTTAACACATGCTCTGATAGGCCGGGATCGAGATCGGATCAGAAGGGAAAAAAGCTGGATCGGGACGTCCTTAATGTGTGGTTGATTTAGTGTTTTCCTGCTTGGATTTGGTTTTAAACAGCTCTATTTTTTATCTGACTCTGTTTCTGCATCAGCATCCCTCTGTGCACCCTCATCAACCAGCACCTCGGCTCGCTGGCCAGGAAGTTCCCCCAGACCAAGTTCCTCAAGTCCATCTCCACCACCTGCATCGCCAACTACCCCGACCGCAACCTGCCCACCATCTTCGTGTACTTCGAGGGGGAGATGAAGGCCCAGTTCATCGGCCCGCTGGTGTTCGGGGGCATGAACCTCAAAGTTGAAGGTGAGTGTTGGCTGAATGTCTTAAAAACACTTTCAGACCTTTAGGGCTTTGACCTAAAGCCTCTGAGTGGATCAGAGTTTCCCAACATGGCTGTGGTTTCCTGAACTGGTGCAAAGAAGCAGGAAAACCCTTGATTTTGGGTCATGGTGGTTAGTTTGGATCTAAATAAACGTAGATAAATACATTATTTGTCATCCAAAAAGGCAAACGAGTCATACACTGATTCAAACAGGTCTGTAAAGCATCTCATTGAAATGAGACCTGATCCATATTCTGCAGAAAGCAGCAACCAAAGACCCTGAAAAATCTACATATATTGTTATTATTTTCATTTTCACATAACTGTAAATTGAGAGAAAACGACTTAAAAACTCTGGTTGAGAAGCGACTTAATGGTTGTGTGCAGATTCAGACTTAGTGTGAAATTAGCTGAGGAACTTTTTTAGTAGTTTTAGGTCAAAACTATCTGATTTATCCAAAACAAACATCCTAATAAGAATTTGTTTTGGATAAATCAGATATTAGGGATGTCCCGATCCCGGCCTATCAGAGCATGTGTTAAAGTCTAAAGTTATTTATCTACTTACTTAGTTGTCAGACTCATGTTGAACCAGGATTTACTCTGATAACAACTTAATGGTTAGGACACAGACCTGTGGGTTAGGAGATGCTAATGCTCGTGTGAAATTAGATGTGGAACTCTTTTAGTAGTTTTAGGTCAAAACTATCTGATTTATCCAAAACAAACATTCTAATAAGAATTTATTTAGGATAAATCAGATATTAGGGATGTCCCGATCCGGCCTTCACTTCCGATGTTAACCAGAGATTTACTCTGATAACAACTTAATGGTTAGGACACAGACCTGTGGGTTACAGATGCTAATGCTAATGCGGGATCTGACTTTAAAACAAAAAACTGGATTTTTGGAGTCTGGATCTGGATTTTCTCCTACAATATTTTGATATCTGACCCCTCCAGAGCTGGAGTGGCGGCTGTCGGAGAGCGGGGCGGTGAAGACCGACCTGGAGGAAAACCCCCGGAAGCAGATCGAGGACAAGCTGATGTCGTCCATCAGGGGCTCGCTGCCGGCGCGGGGGGGGGGCGGCTCCGAGGACGAGGACGACTAACCGGGACCGGGACCAGAGACCCCCCATCAACCCGCTCCCACCTTTTAAAAACCGTCTGAGCTGGTGGGCGGAGCCAAAGGGCAGCTGGAGGCCTCAGGGAAGGGAATAACACATATCACCCCCCCCCACAAACCCCCCCAAACCTCTAATGGCCGCCTCACAGCAAAGCGGCCGGACAGCCAGACTCTCGTCCTTTTATCGATTAAAAACACCAAACCGTCTCCTTCCAAAACCATCAAAGACAAACATTTACTTTTTTTTTTATTACGTCACATGGTCATTATGTCACAGAATGTACAGGTGCTGTAAAGTCTGCTTTGATTAAAGGTGCCACGACAAAAAGCTCCCTTTTCGGATTTTTTTCTGTTCGGGGAAGTCGGCTAAAGCAGTGTTTTTCAACCACTGTGCCTTAGTGATGGTCAGGTGTGCCGTAGAAAATCATCCTATTTCACCTCATTGGTCTAAAAATACTTTTTGATAAGGAATTAATTATCTGCAAATAATATGCCATTTTTGAGTGTCTGTGCTGTTCTAGTGACTGGTGGAGTAATCACGTAATAATTCCTTATGACTAGATTTTGTATATAATTTTGCATATTGAAGTGGACATGTTAAGTGCAATTTGAAAGAAGAAATATAAAATATGATAAAAATACATTTTTGTTTATTTGATTCCTATTCAACACACTTCCGATAAGATAATAAAATAAGAATAACTAAAGTGTTACTATAGGCGGCTACAGATTTGTTTGACATTTTTGGTTGGTGGTGTGCCTCGTGATTTTTTTCAATGAAAAAATGTACCTTTGGCTCAAAAAAGGTTGAAAAACACTGGGCTAAAGACTCGATGTGGTGCGTTCGGGTGCCGTCGGGGTTTCGGGCGGCCGTCCAGATCCCGAAAAGATCCCGTCCAGGTCCAGCTGGGAGCGTTTGGGCGGAGGCTCGTTTCCAGCCGGGGGGGTGACTCCATTCCTCTGTTTTTTGTGGGTTTTTCCCTTTACAGCATCCCCTCCGGCAGGCCTCTGATCTTCTGTTTAATTAGCGGGAGACAGAGGCGAGAGCGGAAGTCAGAGAGCAGCTAATCGAAACCGGAGCGGCCTGATGCATTACGGCTGCTTTTCCTAAAAAGGTTAAACATTCGATGAGAGGGAGGAGGCAGACACCGGGCTTAAAGGAGACATATTATACCCTATTTCAACAAGTTAAGCTAGTTCCCTGGTGTCCTAATGTAATGTCTGTGACCAACTTTGGTCAAAATCCCATAAGGATGAAGCCCAATAGCAGTTCAGTCCCCCTGCCTAACCCTAACCCTAACTCTAACCCTAACCCAAAACAACAGGAGGTGTGCCCACGTCGGCACGCTAACGCTGCCATGCTAACGCTACCATGCTAGCGCTACCATGCTAACGCTCACGCTACCAGGACGTCTCCACAGATAGGGGAGTAAGCTGAGGGGGGGGGCAACATGCAGGTGAAAGGCTGGAATATTATAATGAGCTAGAGCTAATGACGTCAGAAACTACCCACTCCCGAAACCTCCTGATTTATCTCCTGGATTCAGACTGAGGCGGCCCACAAAAACATGACTGAGTCATTTTTTTTCACACTTTGCCTGCTGATAGGCCCTCCACAGTCCCAAATGTACATAATTGGATGATTAAAAACTTGGTTTTGCGTAATATTTCCCCTTTAAAGAACACCTCTGACCACAGGCTGGACTTTTCCAGCCTGAGCTGAGCAGATGCTAACCGCTAACAGCCTTCCTTTGAACGCCAACGGCCCCAAACGTGTTGGAAACTCTTTTAAATATTGGCTTGTTTCTCCAAAATTAAGCGGCCCGAGTGGGAGATCGTGCCTCAAAACCCTCCAAAGGAGAAAGTTTTAGCTTTCAGCTGCCGTAATTCCACGGCTGGAAACTCTGTAAACCTTTTCCTCATCTTAAAAAAAAACAAAGCGTGCTTTAAGTTTCTCACCAGAAGGAGGACCTTCTTCTTCCTCCTCTGGGACAGTTTGGGGGAAAGCCGCAGCAGAGGGTGGACCGAGTGGGACTGAGGGAGGAAAACGGGTTATTTCAGAGGCTATCTTCCAGTTTTATGTAGAAAAAATACAGTTTGATCTGTTTGAGTTTCACAGGAACCGGAATAGTAGACTAAATCTACTCCAAACTGGGCGTTTTGACCCGGTTTTGGGTTTTTTTTAAAGGGAAAAGCGGCTTTACCCACCTGTTGCTGCACAGCTCCGATGGAGTTACGGGCTTTGGAGTAATGGAACAAGAACTGAAACAGAGGAGGGCTAAAGTTAATCTGCTGCCAGTGAGAACATCAGAGGAGACGGACAAAAGGAGGCAAACCTACTCTCTTGAATATGTTCTGGACTTCCTCCTGTTGGGGGGGGAACACAAGCCCAGGTTAGTGACAGGAATCTGGGATCATTTCCACAGACGGGGAGAAGATTTGGTTTGTTTCTACACTTTGTGTTCAAAGTGAAACCTCGTCTTTATTCAGGTTGTTTGGGTTTTTTTTTTTTTAGCTTTGATGCTCGGAAAATGCAGAAATCAGACCTGGAAGCGTCCAAACTCCTCCCACTTGGCCTTTTCTGCTTTTAACTTCCACAAACTTCCGCAAACTCACCGAAAGCTGGTTCAGATTGTGTTGTTGGAGACACCCAACGGCTCTCGATCTGATTCAGAAGAATAAAATCTGACGTTTCATTTGCTGTGTGCCACGAATGGACTCCCCAGAACCAGAAAGCTGCTTTTAAACCCCCCCAAAAAACCCTAAAATCTGCATTTGTGCTATAACAGACTAACCCTCCCCTTCAAATCTTGTTTGCTTTTCTTTTTCTTCTTTTTTGGTGAGTAACCAGACATTTAAATACAGTAACTGCCTTCCCTCTTGTTAGCATTTCCCTAAATGGGGTCAGGTCACTCACAGTGTGTATTATGGCCAAAATACTCCTCTTCATACAGTAAAAACACAAGTTTTTAATCCCGAGGTCGCGTTTCTGGCCTCAGAGTGGAGATTTAGACCAGCCAAACTGTCTTGAAGAGTATTTATCAACAGTATTAAATAGTCAAATCAGAAACCTGCCAGCCCTAACGCTGACTCAGCAGATTCAGAGTTTGATGGGAGAGGAGGCCCACCTGGTTCTGGTCTCCCCACAGCACGTCCCTCACATCCTCACTCTGGACGTCTCGCACCTGTGGACAGACACGCTCGCTCAGAATCAACACAAAAAAAAAAAAACAGCCCGAGGCCGAAAGAGAGGCGGATCTACTCCGGAAAAAGCCTCCGGCTTTGATCCGTCTTTAACTCATTGACTGCCAAAGACGTCTATAGACGTCTTTTATGTTTTTCAACGAGAGTGGCTTGGGGGACGATCTGCTAAAGCTTGTCCGTAAATATCAGGCTTCTAGACAGAGTATGTAGTAACAAATTGACCCTCTAGGGGGCAGTGCCACTTTTGATGGGAGATGAACATAGACCCTGGGCAAATAAGAAAAAGGTAACAGTTCGCTATGAGAGAATATGTCGCTGGTGAGACGCAAGTCGAGGAAGAACGGAATAAGGTAGAAACAAAAAATGTTTTCCTGATGAAAGAAGAGAGTCTACTCTTTCTTTTGGTGTGTTCGGTGTTTACATAGTCATAGCACAAACTATTCTGTGGCTCTTGAAAAATCAGTCAAAATGCTCAAAAAACTCTGGCAGTATGGGACTCTCTGTTCTGAAAATGGCTGGCAGTCAATGAGTTAATCGCTGCTAACACCCTCCAACTTTTGGGTTTTTTGGACCACAGGAGAGGACGAGATCGGGGCCTCAATGGGGATCTGAATGTGGAAAAAGGGGGCGTTTCTCTACCTTTGGAAACACTATTCCCTCCTCCCACTGGTCGAAGGGCCGGGCATCTGGAAGGAGAGCACAAACCTCAGGACAGGCAGGTATTCCCTGATCCACATTTTAAATAACAGAGAACTCACTTTAGTCATCTGGATTTTGTCCTCTATGATAAACTGAATCATAACCAGACAGTGGACAAGCCCTAAGTCCAGAGAAAGCACTTAGAATGAGCTCAAAAGGTGTTTTTTCTGACCCCAAGTGGTCACAATTATAACCTCCCGAGCTTCTTTGAGTGCTGATGTTATATAAGATGGAAATAATTGATGTTTTTTTCTGCTGGCTCCTGTTCCCAGACCGTTTCTTACCTCTAAGGTTTTAAAAATGGATCGATTGTTTTTCGTTTGTCTTTTTAAACCGCAGATATTTGAGCCTTCCTGATACTTTTAGAGCGCATAGAGGGTTTTTCTCCCGTGTTAAAACATTCAGACTAAAGTCAAACTGGACATAAAAGCTTTTTGGGGGGCACCTTTTAGCTTTAGATTCTTAAATTTGGGAAACACTAAAAAGCTCCAGCAACGCCATGTTTGCTTATGTTAATGATCCATTTTATTTGGAGCTCTTTATAAGCTCCTGTTAGCGTCAGATATTGATTCCTAGTGTCTGAGTCAGGATAAATAGCTGGTCAGCTCAATGAGGATCAGGGATCTTTCAAACCCAGATCTTAATCTTATTGATTTGTCATTAAAAACCACTGAAGCTCCTCAAGATATTACACCACTGGCCACAGAGTCTGCCCAATGAAATGTAAGTTTTAACCATTTCAAATGATCTTGTAAACATCTTTATCCTCACACAGACGTGATTTTAAACACTGGACTGGGAGACGTGGAGAATAAGGTCTTGCTGGCTCTCGTGCGTCATGGAAACGGTGGGCATCATCACCCTGGATGTCTTCTTATCTTATCTGAAACCTCTCCGCCTCTGGATTAAGGTACAGGGAGGCTGGAGCAGTTTACTTTTAAACTCAAGTCAGTCACAGAGTAATGTTAGCTGTCAATCCCAGCCACTATTTTGGTCAGAAAATTGAGTCTGAAGTATGTTACAAAAAGCATTCAAATGACTGTGAGAATCTACCACTGCGTTTTCTGCCATGCAGACAAAACGTTATTTGATGAGATTTGATATTGCTATCTTTATTTAATTGTGTTTAACAGAATCTCAGAGACTGGAGCCCCCATCCACCCCAACAGAAACCGGGCGCGTGCCTGAACCTGAGCGCGCCAAAAATGTACGCATCCAAACTACTCTATTTGGTTACAATTTCATATATTTAGGAATATTTTATATATTAAATTCGCCTGTTTCACTGGTTTAAGAATACCCCCCCCTAGAATTAGGATTACCAGTTATGGCGCGTAACTGTACCGTGTTTGGACCTGAGCGTGCCAAAAATTAACGCATCCAAACTACTCTATTTGGTTAAAATTTCATATATTTTTCAATATTTAATATCTTAAAAACGCTCGTTTAACTGGTTTAAGAATACCTTCCCCCACATAATTATGATTACC